GGGAGGGGGTGGAGTCACCATCCCTGTTGGTATTTAAGGACAGACTGGATGTGGCACTCTGTGCCATAGTCTGTTTGCCATGGTGGTGTTAGGTCATAGGTTGGACTTAATGATCTCAGCGGTCTTTTCCAAGCTTAATGATTATGTGATTCTGTAAGGCTCATCTCATTCCAAACCCCCCTTTTCATGGGCAGGGACACCATCCACTAGACCAGGTTGCTCAGAGCCTCATCCAGCCTGGCCTTGCCCAGCCAGAATTCTGTGAAACAGGGTTAATTCTGTAGCTGAGTTGAGATGATAAATCTTTTTTTGAACTTGTGTGTCTTATCTCTTCAGCAAATGTCTTTGCACATTTCACTGCCTGTGCTGTATGTCTGGTTGTCACTGCCCTATTTCCACACTAAGCAATGCTGACTGATGTACAATGTATTTAACAGAACATGAGATGTATATATTGCCTAGTTCGGCCTTGGTGCCTCAGCTTTCCTGCTGTCTCTCCTGTTTTCTGCTTCTCCCCCTTCTCGAGGGCCTCTCCTGGCCATGCCTTGTCACTGCCTCTGGGAAAAGGATGTTCTGCAGCAAGAGGTCTTGTTTGCTAAGGGCTCATGGGGGCTGTGATCTGGGCAGAGACCCTTCAGTGTACACTACCTCACTCTCAGCTGCAAGAGAGTTCTGGAAAGCTCTTTTAACCCTTCCCATCTTATTTTGGTTAGTGAAACTGTAAATGAGACCACGTTTACCTTCAGCAACAAAGTGGGAGTGCACAATAACCTCTGCAGCAGCAAATGCTTCTGGTCCTGCTGCCTTGCATCATTCAGTGTTGGTTTGGCTGTTACCCATGTCCAGGAGAAGTAGGAATTGTTTGGCATCCAGCTCTAATATGTTCTTGTTCTCTGTGTTTCTTTCCCCTAAGGTGAATCATCTATCAAAGAGACATCCAGACATGAAAATAGAAGAGGTGCCAGAGCTCACGTTGCCCATCATCAAACCCAACAGAGATTACTTCTGTCAATACTGTGATAAGGTGTGTGGGAAGTCACCTCTCAGAGGATAGCTCAGTCCCAGACCTGTATGCAACCAATTTGTCTCTGCATAGAAATATTTGGCAGGGTTTGTAGCTGTTTTGAGGTGATTGCCAGCAACATTCCTGCAGTATTGTCCAAAAAACATAGAAACAAAAAACCAAAATGCACTCAGGCCAAGGCAGTGGAATGCTAATTGAAAACTGCAGTTTTCTGCTGTCTTTGGCATTGGAAGACTCAAGTACTGTGATCCAGCACGCAGGCACTGACCCTGAGTCCTGTGTGAGCCCAGGACTGAGAATCCTGTCTGTCTGTAATTCCTGACCACTAAGTCCTTTTGGTTTCTGTATCACTTCTAAAAGTTAGTCTCTAATCCATTTTATTGTAAGCTGCTTACTTAGTCACATGCCAGTAATTCCCAGTGTTCAGTGGAGCCTGAAGCTGCTTCTGCAGTGTCTTGGGGTTCCTGCTCTTGTTCCCTGGCCTTTGCTTTTCATGCTTAGGGGCCTTTATTTACCAGGGAGTGTATTTTGACTGTCCTTATTCTCATTGTGTTCTTCTGTGTTGACTCCTTCCCTTGTTTAAAGGGAAAAAAGGGTCGTTTGAAATAGTGTTACAGGATATTCATTTCTTGATGTGCCTAAAAAGAGTTAAAAATATGTTGATCACTGAAGGCTGCGAAGGCAGTTTGATGCTTTGTGTGAGGGGAGTGGAGACATCAGCCCTCATGCTGTTAACACTGGGCAAATTACAGCTTTGGTGATCAGTGGCTTCTCTGACATTTGACCTTCAAGTATTAGGCAAAACGGGTTTTCCTTTTACTTCCCTGTCCTGCTGTGATGTTTGGTGGTGGCATCTAATGTGTACTGAAATGGCTTCTCTGTGCTACACAACAAGGAGAAGCTCTTGCAGATTGACTAGACACTGGAATGTGGATGTAAATTCCAGCATTATGTTGTAATTGTTTGGGGATTTGACTAAACACATTGTCCAAAGCTACGTGCAGACTTTCCAGATGGAGATAACTGGTAGCTGTTTCCTGTACAGACATCAGGTTTGCACCATTTCAGTTCCAAATCTCTGTCCTGCAGGTGTACAAGAGTGCCAGCAAGCGCAAAGCACACATCCTGAAGAACCATCCTGGTGCTGAGCTGCCTCCAAGCATCCGGAAGCTTCGCCCTGCAGGCCCAGGAGAGCCAGATCCCATGCTGAGCACCCACACCCAGCTGACAGGCACCATAGCCACCCCTCCAGTGTGCTGCCCTCACTGCTCCAAGCAGTACAGCAGTAAGGTATGGGGGTGGTTTGGCCTCAGGAGGCACAGCCTCTCCCTGGGGTGCTCTGTCACAGCCTCTGTCACCTGTCAGTCTGCAAGCAGAGCTGTCTGAGGCAGAGCACTGCTCTCATGCTGTGTGCTGATAGTGCAGGCACAGCCTGCTTGTTTGGGGGCTAAAAGGTTCTCTGAAGAGAGGGCTGGAGCTTGAAGAAATGAGAATGTTACCAGAGTGTGGTCACAAATGGAAAGGCTTGGAAACTGCTCACTGATAGTTACAAAGGAGAGGAGTAGGGAAACCTATTCTGGCACTGGAATATTGCCCAGGGAGGTGGTGGAGTCACCATCCCTGGAGGTGTTTAAGAGGTGTCTGGATGTGGCACTGGAGGATTTAGTTTAGCGTTTAGGGGTTCCAGCAGTGACAGGTTCATGGTTGGACTTTATGATCTTAGAGGTCTCATCCAACCTCAATGATTCTGACACAGAAAAGGTGACCTCTGGAAAAGGTCCCCAAAATACTTGGCTGTGTTGGGGTAAAAAACTTACAGGCTGTGCTGTTTGGGGCAATATTTCAGTGCAGGTAGTTCTAACCAGCAGCAGCTTTGTGATCCTTGTGTCCATCTTGCTGACCAGTGGTGTAAATCATCCCAGTGTGAATCTTGGCTGCCTTGCCACAGTTGGCTGCTGGATTTCAGTTGGCCCCTAGCAGAGCTACTGACCATCTCTCTAACCCTCCTTTGCATCTCTCTGCAGACGAAGATGGTGCAGCACATCCGCAAGAAGCACCCAGAGTTTGCTCAGCTGCCCAACACGATCCACACCCCCATGGCCACGGCTGTCATCAGCTCCACCCCAGCTGTCCTGGCCACTGACAGCACCACTGGAGAGACTGTCGTGGTAAGAGCTCCAGGCACAGCACATCAGGCCAGTGCAGGGGAGCCACCAGAGCAGGAGCTCTCTGGTGCCCCAGTCAGTGTTTGTTTGGCAGACACCACTTTTAAGGCCTGTGTTAGGATGTTATGTGAGATCACTTCTGTCACTGAGTCTGTGTGGTTTAGTTTTGCTCTGCCAGGAGCTGTGTGTTTTTTTCTGGACCTTTAAGGATTTGGCTTTTTTCCCCCAACTTCGTTCCTCCTGACTCCACATAATAAATTCACATGTGCCTAATGAAGTCAGGAACACACTTGTCATGGATTTTCACTGGGGCTGTTCTGAGGTGCCTGCAGTTCTTGGCATCAAGAGGACATGTTTAACAGTGACTGAGGACTGGATCAAACTGTGTTCAGAGGAGTCAAGATCCCTCTGTAATCCTTTGGACAGTGCAGCACTGAGTGATATCAATCTGCAGTGGCTGATCTCTCCAGTGTTAATACATCAGCTGCCACAGAAGTGAAAGCTGAGACTACAAAATGACTCTGGTGTCCTTCAGCAGTGCTGGAGTGCTGCATAGTTTTATAAAGCCTACTGAGCACAGTTTAAAACTTCCTCTTTGAAGATTAACTGGATAAAAAACCTGTTCTACTTGAAAACGGAGAGGTTCAATCAGGCTGCTGTTGGCTTCATAAACCTGATTAGTTAGGTGTTAAATGTCTTCACACACTCCAGAATTGCAGTTGTGACTGGCAGGGGAGGAGAAAAGGTGGAATACATCCATGAATCACTTTTTGACTTGAAAATCAAGTCAAGTCTTCACAGGTGCAGAATTTTTGTTGTCAAATAGAATACTGTTATGCCACGGGGTGGAAGTAATTATTTTTTTATTTTGATAAGTTAGCCCTTAATGGTTCTGACTAGTATTTAGACCAAGAGAGCAGCTGTAGTGGATGGTCCTTGCTGATTGCTTATGGCCTCAACCTCTGTACACATTAGGCTCTTGTACATAAATGCCCAGGCCCAATATAAGTGTAGATTCAGTGTGATGGAAGAACCACAGCCCTGCACAAGTACATCAGCATGTGATGATGGTCTGCCTCTCTCTCCCTGCTCAGACAACAGATTTACTGACCCAGGCAATGACAGAGATCTCCCAGACCCTCACCACGGACTATCGGACTCCCCAGGGAGATTACCAGCGGATCCAGTACATCCCTGTGTCTCAATCCACAACTGGCTTGCAGCAGCCTCAGCACATACAGCTGCAGGTTGTTCAAGTGGCCCAGGTGAGTAACCTGTGTGGGACTGGCTGTGCTTTTTACCCCCTCCATATCAAGCCTGTGTGTTCTTGGGGCTGCAGCACTCTGCAGTTTGTTAAGGAGTAGTTACAAGAAGTGGTGCAGACCATTTCTTACAGGTCAATTGGTTTATAATGCATAGGGTTCCCATTGTGAGCCTTGTGTCCTGGGCATAAATAGTCCTGCCAGCCTTGGCCAGCTTGCTGGCGACATGTCAACACAGTCCTGACTTCATTCTACCCATCTGGGCACCCTTGCTCGAGTCTGCTCTAGGAAGGTTTTCCAGCAACTGGAAAAGTGGGTCAGTGGGTGACCTGTTTTCTGCAGTTCAAGACTAATTTGTGTTTCCTTGTTCTCAGTGAGCCAGAGCCAAAATTTGGGAGTACAGAGAGTGCTTGCTTGTTCCCTTCATATCATCTATTAGAATATTCATTCTCTGAAGCTCAACAGCCTCCTAAAAATAAAACCAGAGTGTAACCAGAGTAACTGAGCTGAGGAAAACATCTCAGGCAGCTGTAAGAAATCACTGTAGCCTTCAAACGTGCTGTCCCCTGGGTGAAGCTAAAACTACTGTGTGTTGGGATTTGAATCTGAAATTCCATGTTCTCTCTGGCTCCTCATTACAAATCAGGTTATGAATTTTGTTAATAAAGGCCTAAACAATGGCCCCAGTTAATATTGGCTGTGGCTGTTCTAAAGATAAAGAGCATGAATACTGATTCCTGCAGGTAATATTATCAAGACCTTAATTTTATCAAGATCTGAGACTTGTAATGAAGTTACTGCAATTGGTATCATTAGCAGGTGCTCAGAAAAAAACCTTTAAAAGCCTATGAGCACTTGTCTTGATGCAGAGCTGAGTCAAACTACAGTATTGGGTGTGTAGATCTCGAGTGTGTATGCATTTTAGAGAAAGATGCTTATAGAGAAGTGATTAACACTAGTCATGGTTTTCAGAGCCTTTGGTTTCAGTCCAAGCACTGCCACAAACAGCTTGTACGACCTTAGGCAAATCCTCTCCAATGTATCACTGAGGTGTAACCATAAGGAGAAGCTGAGGGAGCTGGGGGTGTTCAGCCTGGAGAAGAGGAGGCTCAGGGGAGACCTTCTCACCCTCTGCAACTCCCTGACAGGAGGTTGGAGTCAGGTGGGGGTTGGTCTCTTCTCCCAGGCAACCAGCAGCAGGACAAGAGGGCACAGACTCAAGCTCTGCCAGGGGAGGGTTAGGTTGGATATTAGGAAGAGATTTTTTACAGAGAGAGCGCTCAGGCTTTGGAATGTGCTGCCCAGGGAGGTGGTGGATTCACCATCCCTGGAGGTTTTCAAGCTGAGACTGGATGTGGCACTTAGTGCCATGGTCTAGTAACCACCGTAGGGTTGGACTCGATCTTGGAGGTCTTTTCCAACCTGGTTGATTCTATGATCTCAGTGCCATTTTATCTGTTAAGTGTACTTTATCTCCTGGGAGTGCAAAGAAACTAAGCAGACTTGAACACGAGAGCTCCATTAAGGCTCCTGTGTCATTGTCCCCGACCTTGTGTCCCAGAGGAGGTTTGTATGGCTGTTTCTGCAAAGAATTCAAAGTATACACCTCTGCTTATTTTTTTCCCCCAGGCTACCTCACCTCACCAGTCCCAGCACTCCACAGTGGATGTTGGGCAGCTGCATGACCCCCAGACGTACACCCAGCATGCCATCCAGGTGCAGCACATCCAGGTCACCGAGCCGTCGCCAGCAGCTCAGTCAGCAGCACAGGTATTTCACTCTGCTCCTGCAGGGAATCTTTCCCTGCCTGTCTGCTCAGCACATTGCATGTACTGATGCAGGGGACAGTCTTTTCTGTGTCATTTATAGGACCACCCATGAAATGACTCTCACATGAACATCTCTGAGATCATCAAAGTAGTTTCCAGATGTCCCAGGGTGTGTGGGTTGTTTGTTGTGTGGGTTTTTTGCTGTTTTTTTTTATTTTCCCCCTAGCAGTGTGTACAAGTTAGAGGTAAGTGGCTGGGAACAGACAAATTTGCAGCTTAAATTAAGTTAGTGAATGGAAAGATGTAAATGGAAACTGGCATTACTCAGATATTTGAAGTGCAGCTCTCCATGCTGTTGGCCAGTATTTAGGCTCTAATTTCAGTTCTCTATCACAGACTCACTCACAAAAGTGCTACTGGTCAAACCTACTAACATTGTAAACTTTAGGCTGCAAGAAACATTGCAATAGGTTGCCCAGGGAGGTGGTGGAGTGACCATCCTGGGAGGTGTTTAAGAGGTGTCTGGATCTGGTGCTGGAAGATACGCTTTAGGGTTTAGGGGTTACAGCAGTAGCAAGTTAATGTTTGGACTAGGTGCTCTTAGAGGTCTCCTCCAGCCCTGATGATTCTGTGATCTCTATTTCAGTGTCCTGTTCTGTGCTCTGGAGCCCACCCTGTGTTTTCCCTCAGTAAGAAGGGTGTGTTTGTAGCAGCACAGAGCTGTGCAGTCCTTACTACACTGAGAACACACCTTGTTTTTTCTCTAGGTTGGGGGTCAGCCTTTGAGTCCCTCCTCGCAGCCACCTCAGAAGGAACTCAGCCCCTCCCAGATGCAGACAGCTCCCTCCACACCAAACCAGGCCCTCCAGCAGCAGCAAGGCTCCTCAGTGCAGCACACCTACCTGCCCAGCACGTGGAACTCCTTCCGCAGCTACTGTAAGTGTCAGCAGTAGCTCTCACCACTCTGTGTGACTAATTTGTGCCCCATGTCTCCAGCTACCCACTGGGATAGTGTTATCAAAGCTCGTCAAGCTGTGTGGTTAATGTTCACAGAGACCAAGAGAGTTTCAGGTGAATGAAAATGGTTACACTAGCTCTTCTGCTGTAGGTCCATGCTGATCCCACACAAGATTTGGGCAGGTGCACTGGGTTCTTTTATTAACTTGGGCTCAGCAAGAATCCATGTGTTAGATAACAGCTTATTCAGGTTTGGATGATGGATGCGTGAAAGAATCATAGAGGAGATGAGGGTGACATGAGATATTTCTCATGTCTATGCAGCTCTGGATGGTAATTGTGGGATCATTTGGGTGAGAACAGGATGTGCTGTCCCTGTATGAGTTGCCAAACCTGCAGCTGGTGTTAGCTGGCATAATTCTCTTGAGGCCTGTGGAGTTGGACAAGGCCTTACAGCACCTGAATTTCTATTCGACACCCACTGTTTCAGGCTTGAAATTTTACTTAGGTAAGACATGATCTTTTAAAGTTGTCTTTGACTTCGATTCAAGGTCTTGACTGTCCAATTTGCATCTTTCAGCATCCGAGATTCAGATGATGACCATCCCCCAGGGCCAGTACGTGATCACAGAGACTGCTGTGGGCACACCAGTCACCACTGTCAACACAGGGCAAGTGAAAGCAGTCACTCAGGTAAGGAAAGCAATCGTGGCCTCTGTTAAATCCAGGGTAATGTATCAGACTTAAAGCCTTCAGCTTGAAGGCTTAAGCAATGACAAAATGATGACTGGGGCACAGAGTAGAGAATAGTGGGGTACCTAAGGGGGTCCAGACTGTATGGACTGGAGGGCATTGGCTTTCTGTCACTGGTAGCAAGTTCCAGGCTGAGCATAATATATAGGCAAAACAGCTAAGAAATTAGGTGATGTGCTGTGTCATAAGCTGGGGAGAAAAGTGCTACTGGTCAAACCTACAAAGTTGTAAACTTTAGTCTGCAAAAGGAAACAATCTCTAGAATTTCAAGGAAAATCTTTTTTTCTGAAATAGCATCATATTCCTTGATGTGGTGATCACAAATTGCAAGTTTTCTGCATCTAGGATTTGCAGAGTCCACACTGTGTAGCCCTTGTGTGTGTGTGAGTCCTTCCAGTTTAAAGTGCTCATTCACTCACATTTGCAGGAGAAAGCATTATTTAGTGGGCCTGATGAGTCCTACAAATATTTATGATTAAACTGTATCCATTAAGCCAAATCTCAGAACAGCTTCTGGAAGCATTTTCACAGCTTTCTGTGATCTGTAGGGTTAGAAAATAAGAAGAGTTCCTGCTGTCTTGCCTTGTAAGCAATCCAGCCTAAGGAAGCAGGCAGGCCCTTGGGCTGTGTTGGTGTTGGACACTGGGAGTGCAACTTCTGCTAGAACATGTGGAATGTAGAAAAAACCCTTTCAGAATAGTTGAATGAAAAATTGTTACTTTAATCTGTAGTGATGGGGTAATTGTGTCATGAGTTTAACCATTCATAGATGGAACTCAGTGCAGAGTAGTCCAATGTCCTTCAAATCAAAGAACAAGTATTGTGTGGCTTTCAAATACAGTTAACTGAAATAGAGCTTAATTTCAAAGTTCTTTCTTCAGGCACTGGAATATTGGCCAGGGAGGGGGTGGAATCACTGCCCTGCAGGTGTTTAAGAGGTGTCTGGATCTGATGCTGGGTGATACAGTTTAGGGGTTACAGTGGCAGTGCTGGTGGATGGTTGGACTTGATCTTAAAGGTCTCTTCCAACCATGATGATTCTATATTCTATGAAACCAAACTCTCTGCAGGCACAGACTGTTAGAACAGCAGAGTCACAGAAGATACATAGCAACCTGCCAGGAGCTGAAGGGGCTCCAGGGAAGCCAGAGGGGGACTCTGTTAGGTGCTGCAGGGACAGGACAAGGAGGAATGGGGAGAAATTGAAAGAGGAAAATTAGATTAGATCTTAGGAAGGTTTTCCTGTGATGTTGGTGAGACACTGGCACAGGTTGTCCAGGGAGGCTGTGGCTGCCCCAACCCTGGCAGTGTTCACAGCCAGGTTGGCTAAAGCCTTGAGCAACCTGCTCTGGTGGGAGGTGTCCCTGCCCAGGGCAGGGGGGTGGGGCTGGAGGATGATCTCTAAGCTCCATTCCAACCCCTTCACATTCTGTGATGCTATGAAACTGATGCTTTATTTTCTCTGTTCCCCGTGCAGACTCACTATGTGATATCTGAAGGTCAGCCTGACCTGGATGGCAAACAGAACTCCTCCCTGCCCAGCGAGGTCCCGGTGGGTGTTCCCCAGCCCCCAGCCCACACGGATCCCTTGGAGCCTCAGCCAGGCAGCCAGCAGCAAACCACCCAGTACATCATCACCACCACCACCAACGGCAGCGGTGGCAGCGAAGTGCACATCACCAAACCCAGGACTTTCCCAGCAGAGCACGAGTGAAGGAGCCTCCTGGTGTCATTTGCTTGTCCTTGTCACCTCCCCAACAGCAGATCTAGGGTACTCTGGGGCTGTCTGTGTTTAACCTATATGCTCACTTACCTTCAACTAAAATCTGGAGCTCTTGGTAATGCTTTAAGAGGGTTTAAGTCCCCAGTGACCATGAAGTACCCTCAAAATCCTTCTGGGATGCTTTTTATGCAGCTTTTAACAAAGGGCAAGAGAAGTGAAACCTCTCCTTGCCCTGAACTTTATTTCTGGCATGTCTGCTGACCCTTATGTTTCCTTTTTTGGAAGTGTCTCCAGTAAACAACTTTTGATTTCAGTTGTATGGGGAAAAGCTTGCCCAAGTGAAGGCTACCTGGCAGCTTGGTGTATGTATATCTTTCATAGGAGCCATTAAACAGAAGGACATCATCCCCACGGCCAGGATATGGCAGAACTGCTTCCCATGGCTTTGTTTCAGCAGCCAAGGTGGAAGGGAATAACCCAGGTCCATGTGAGCAGACTGCCTGGAGCAGAGAGCAGCAGCAGCCAGGGTGGCTCCTTGCCTGGGGATGGATCAGACAATGAAGCTGTGAAGATGTGCCGGAGCAGTCCGTTAAGTTATTCTTTCTCCAGTCCTCCAGAACTGTTTACATGCTCTCTGCCCTGCCCCGTTTCCCCAGCAGTTCCAGAAAGCAGGAAAAGTGCAGAATTACACCTGTGTGGTTTGGAGTAAACTGAAATCACAGCAGCACCCAAGGGTAGTACAGAGCCACTGTTAGCCCTTTTCCCTCCAGTGTTTGCAGGGAAAATTGCCTTTTTGCCTGTAAAGAGCCAAAGGCTGAGCTCAGCCTGCACAGCAGCTCCTGCTGTGACCTAGGATGGTTGTGCCAGGAGAAACTGAGGGTCCAGGACACTCCTCCGAAGGGACAGGGTCGTTGTCTCTGTTGCCACCTCCAAGTGAACACATTTCTCCCCTTCAAGACTGGATGGATTACTCTGATTACTTGGTTTACTTGGTTACTCTGGGTTTTTTTCCCAAATAACCTTGTTAGCAGTGCACTGTAATTCCTTTGGACACTTCCATGAAACGACCAGCCCTGGACTCAGGAAACACAACAAACATGCTAGTGGACCACTATTTATGGGACATGGAAAGCCATCTGTGAGGGTTGCCTGGTGGTGCACCTGGTCTGTGCATGAATTCA